GGCCACACCTCCGCTGTCTAACCCCCTTTCACCCTACCCACACCCCCTCCCCTACCCACTTTGATGCATTTTTCAAATTTCGCCTTAGGGCAGAGTTATCTTTTCAAAGGGGGGTAAGATACACTTTAAAAATGTCATGGTAGCTTTTTTTTGTTTTTGTTTTGGAGGGAGACTTTAAAACAGCTTGCCATATCAGCCAAAATCGTGAGTTTTGTTTTGCAAGAGCAAAAAACAAGCAGATTTTTACAAACACGTTGTCTTTGTGTGTTTATAGTGGATTGTTTTGTTTTATTTGACTTTATTCTAATTAAATTCTTTTTTCTTTTTTTTTTTTTTTTTTTGCAGATTGTCATTTGTCCTTTCCAGCCAATAAACTCGTCTCAGGGGAGCATTGCAAGATAGTGAAAGATGAAAGCTCGGGGTTGGTGTGGCTTGAAGACATGAGGTAGTGTTACCTGAAYGCTTCTCACTAAACTTTCAGCTGCTGCGCAAAACTTGTTTTAAGCTTGTTCCCAGGTTATTGAGCTGAGTTTTGTCYGTTAATGTTGTGGTTCTTAGTTTATTTAAAAAAAGATGATCCTAGTAAAAGTCTTTGATTTTTCGGTGATWTGTTTTGACATGACACGCAATCATGTTAATGTTCAGTTTAAACTCTGAATTGTGTGTCTGTAGCACTAATGGCACGGTGATCAACATGTCCAAACTAATCAAGAAGCAAAGYCACACTCTGCAAAATGGGGACATCATCTACTTTGTGTACAGGAAGAGTGAGCCAGAACAAAGTGAGTTGTTTATTTTGGGAACCATAAGATTGTTTTATCAGTTTAAGTAGAAATGATAGACGGCATATTTTTYTCACGCTGCAGACATTGCCTATGTTTACCACTCTGTGAAAACGGAGCAATGTGTTACCGACCTATCACCCTCCAGTTATGGTAAGTTGTCCGTTAACACGCCCCCCCAGTTATTTCTGTTTTGTGCCATAGGTGGTTTCATATTCTATGTTTACACTTCAGAAAGAGAAAGGCCAGCCTGCTGTCCCTCCCCTGTCTCGGCGTCAGACATGTCCCTGTCTGTGGAGCCTGTACTGCTAACCAGGGCTCCTCTGGGTCCCGCTCGGGAGGAGGAACCTCAGCCGTCCACTTCTGCTTCCCTCTTCTGTGTCGAGAGCCCTTCCTCCTCTGGTCTCAGGGCTACAGCCGGTAACATACAAAGACAACATTTGAAGCATTTGTCTTCACCCTGTCCTGTTCTAATAGTGGAAAAAATTCCCACTCCTGAGCTCTAGATGATGTCATGAAAATACAGTTGAGACCAGACCATTCATGCTTCTCGTGTAGGGGATTCTCTTTGTGGGATGACCCCTCTAAACTAGAATATACTGTTAGAGTAGAACATACAGGAGTCATGATGCTACAAACAGTAAACCATTAATATCACATCTTTATTGAAGCCCTTTGACTGTTTTACTTTGTAATAACTACATTTTTCTTTTACTATCATTAACCATGTGTTAATGCATGTATCTGCAACTAGAGAAATAGCATTTCCTTTGAAAATGCTATTGTGAATGCTTGTTGCTGAAAGTTGCTGAAATTGAGAATGTTTAGTAGCAAAAGTATTATTTGAAGTCAAACTTTAAAAGCTGAAAGAAGCAAAAGAAAAAACAGAAAAACAGTAAAACAATGAGCAAAAATATAGCTGAAATAGCATAAAAAGGCTAAATGCTAAAATAGCTTAATTAAGCAGAAAGCACCTGTAAGAAACATGCATAACACAAAGTACCAGGAAAAAACAGCAAAAAGCAAAAAAATAGCATAGGAATAGTAGAAAATATAACTACAGATAAAATAGCAGAAAACAGCTAAAATTAGCATAAAAGCTAACTAAAAGTAGAAGCCAGAAGCTGGAAATATTTTATTTTGCATAAGAATGCATAGGGAGTACAACCTTGCTGAATTTAGCAGAATTAAGTTCTAATTGCTACAAACAAAATGTTTATATAGCCTAAAAAGCTAATTTTAGCTATTAACAGCTAAAATGTAGCTCAATTTGTAGAAACTAACTGAATAAAGTGGAAAGCAACTGTAAGAAGCATAAATAGTTCAAATTAGCAGAAAAAAAGCACAAATAAAGCAGAAGAATAGCACAAAAAAGCAGAACTATAGCTGAAATAGCAGAAAACAGCTAAAGTTAGTAAAAAGTTCCTAAAAATTGCACAAGGGAGTAAAAAAGAGCAAAACCAGAACAAATTGTGTAAGGTTTTGTAAAGATTTAGAAGCTATTTGAAGGATTTGAAGGTTGTTGAAACATAGCCCCATTCAAAGTCAATGGGAAAAAAGTGGCTAAAAAAGTTGAAATAGCTAAAAAGCTATAAATAGCTGAAATACCAAAAGTCATAGCAGGCATTGCACGAAAGAGCTGAATGTTTTGATATATGAATGGTTGAAGTAGTGAAGAAATTTATAGTTATTACAGATTAGTACTGATGTTAGAAGCACAACACTGGATTATTAGAGTTTCCTTTTTATAATGTTTGATCTATTATTAATCTATTGTGTGTTAATTGACATAGAGTGGTTACATGTCCGAATCATAAACAACACATAAGTGAACCGTTATGATAACATTAGGTTGAGATTTTTGGATGAATGCCTGTGATTCAGCCGTAGGTCAGTAGGGGGCGAACTCAGGCATTGAAGAATCATGTATAAAAAGATGTACATCCTGGCTTTTGGCCAGTGAGTGTGGTTTTCCTTGTCAGCCGGTGACAATTAAACCTCACTCGGTTCCAGAATTCTGGTGTTGTATGATTTTATTCCATCCACAAATCATTTTATTTAACAATGGTGTTTTCATCTTGACTTCAGTCGTATTGAACACGTATTTTTCTTACAGTAGCACAAAAATTGTGGAATGAGAAAGGTGCCGAAAAATGTACGGAAGAAAAAAATGATCTCAATTGTGTGAATGCCATATAGGCATACTGTATAGGCATTCACACAATAATGCACCATGTTATTAAAATCACAGAATATTAATATGTTCTGAACTGGTACGTGTTGAACGCCATGTTTCTTCATCCAACCTGAATTTTGACTATTTAGACACCAAACATCAAAGATGCAAACATTTTCTGGGTTTATCGCTCCACTGATATGTTAACTTTGGTTTTTCTAACAGAACAAAAGAAAATTGTGGTTTTGTCCAATTCTGTTGTCACTTCATCATTTTAGGTCAAGCTGCAGATGCTGCCTCCAGTCTAGGAAAAGACACTGATAACCTGGAACCAGAAAGGAAAAAGAGGAAAATTCATAACGGTTAGTTTCATTTTATTTATTTTGTTGTGTTTTTTTAAGTTGGAATTTGTGTCTTCATTTTGTCTTGTTTTCTAGTCCTTTAAAGCTTACTTCAGGCCTCGTCTGAAAATTTGTTTATTTATTTTTTAAACAGTCCAACTGCCTCAAAGTTTAGGCTCAATAAAGAGTGATGAGTAGTTAGTGCTTTGTTTTTTTTTTTTTACAGATAAAGAAAGTGACCTGGGTTTACCCCACACCTCCAGTACAGAGCTGCCAGCGTCTGCTCAGTTAGCTCCTGGGGAGATTTTGTCCAAACCAGTAGTTGAAGGCAGTAAAACCGACAAGATGGAGGAAACCCTGACCTGCGTAATTTGCCAGGACCTTCTTCATGACTGCATCAGGTGAGATTTCTCAGGCCCTAGAAGCAGCTTAGATATTGGTTACAGAATAAGCTGCAACCTTCCAGTGTTCTCCAGCGAGCCACTTAACATGCGTGGTTTTAATCCTGAGCGTTTGGTTTTGTTTAAGCTTGCAGCCTTGCATGCACGTCTTCTGTGGTGCCTGCTACTCAGGTTGGATGGAGCGCTCCTCTCTTTGCCCCACCTGCCGCTGCCCCGTGGAGCGTATTTGTAAAAACCACATCCTCAACAACCTAGTGGAGGCCTACCTAATCCAGCATCCAGGTTTGCACTCATGCAGAGCATATTGTGTAACCACCTAAGGCTAATATGACAGTGAAAAAGTATGGGATAAATCTTGTGCCAGCAGGAAATGAATTTGAATTGCTCAGGTTGAATCTGTATGTGCATAACTTGAAATTGAATGCATTGGTTTGAAAATGAATTTTACTGATTTGAAACTGAATTTAAAGTTTTGAATTTCAATTAATTTGCTTTGAAACTGTATTTTGGTTTATTAAAAATTCAGTTTGTCTACTTTCACTTTCAGTTCCAAAATTCAGATTTTTGTGTCGCACATCCTGGTCCTTGAGAAAGCCAGCCAGGGTAATCAAACACAGATCGACAGATTTACGTTTCACTTTGGTGAAGTTTCCCTTCTATAATGTAACAGAGTTGATGCAATCCACCGTAAAAGTGACAAAAACAGACAGTTTATTGCAGTGATTAATTTTACCTATAGATAATGTTTCCTGATGCATCTCAGTAATCCAGGTAAAAAATCAAAAAGAAAAAAATTGTATAGGTCTTCTGGACGGGTTCTTCTCTAATGAAACGTTTCGTC